AAAAAAAAAAAAAAAAGCCCACAACAAAAAATTAAATGGCAAGCACACTGGCAGGAAATGTTTGCAATGTTTGCAGCATATCTGACAAAAGAACTAATTTCCTTAATATATAAAGAGTTCAAGATTAATAAAAAATGATCAACAGCCCAATTGCAAGTGGCAAAAGACACAGAAGGTTATTTTCAGGGAAAAAAAACATGAGAAATAAAAAGGTTAATAAACATATGGGAAAAAATCATAATTGAAGAAATGCAAATTTAAAACAATGATAAGCCATGGTTTGTTCTTCTTTTTAAGTTTATTAATTAGAGAGAGAATAAGCAGGAGCAGGGGAGGGACAGAGACAGAGGTAGAGAGAAAGAATCCTGAGCAGGCTCCACTCTTTCAGCCCAGACCCTGATGCAGGGTTTGAACATGATCTGAGCTGAAACCAAGAGCTGGACACTCAATCGACTGAGCCACCCAGGCGCCCCCAATGATTTACCGTGGTTTACCTCCAACTTTAAGACATAATATGGTGGAAGTGGTTAAAACTGATGGCTGTAGAGTCAGAATACCTGGGATGAAATCCTGGCTCCTTCCTCGGTATGCCCCGGTTTCCTTGGCTGGGGTGGTTACGAGAGCCAAGTAAGAAAATGTAATAAAAAGCCATTAAAACCGTGGCTGGTATATAGTCACTATGCTCGTTATTGTCAGATTGACAAAAACAGGAAAAACATTAGTAATAGTGTTAGAAAGAGAGTGGAGGACTAGCCCTCTCACGCACTTCCAGGAGATGTACAAACTGGCATAGTATCTTTGGCAACGTGACATTGTCTACTCAACGTTCTAAATGCACAAGCCTTTTGACTTTCCGATTCACGTTTAGGAACGTATCCTATCAATCCCGTACGTTCGTAAGAATACATACAGGTCTATCTATATCTATTCATAAAGATATATATGCATAATAGATTTTCATTGCAAGCACGTCTATAACAGCAAAAGGCTGGAAATAACCTAAATGGTCAAGTAGTTACGACAGCAATAGTAACAGTAATTGCCTCTGAGGAGCAAGACTGGGGGTTGAAGTCAGGTGGAGACTTGACATCCTTCTGTAAAACTGGAACTCCCCCCACCCCCAGTACATTACTTCTCCCATTAAACAACAACTAGTTAATTCTAAAAAATAAGAATGCGGTCATCAGATAATTACAACTCTATCAGAAGAGCGAACCAGCTGAAGGCAGAAGTTCCATGAGAAATGCAGTTGCTTAACTGTCACTGTGCTTTCAGGACCACGGATACCCTAGAGCACAGTCCTTGGTTCTTAATGGTATCACCCTAAGGTGTTGAGGACCGCAGGGAATGAGCACACACGTCCTTTCCAGACTTCAGGTTATCCCGGGGTTAACTGCCAGAGCCTACAGAACCACGGCTCTTTGTACCTCCAATTCTAGAAGCACAGGAGTGTTCTTATACCTGGTGTGTTGGTTGGGGTGATGACTTGGGTGGGGGTGGGGGGAGAGGAAGGGAGAAGGGACTGACGACTCTCCCTTATGACGCTCTCTTGGTTCTCCATCATTTCTTTGAACAACTGACTTTTTTCATCTTAACATCTCATGTATAAACAGACTTTACAACTTATGTGGCAGTGCCACTTTCTCATGAATTCTGACAACCCAGTAAATGGATATGCTGATGCCATTTTACAGGAGTCTCAGAGGGCTTGCCCAGTCCCACAAACATTAGGTTTGTGCCCTGGCACCACCACTTAATTCCCCAAATCTGGTGCCTTCCACACCATGGTTTTCTCACCATCCCTGCCCGATCTCCCCCCACCGGCTCCTGATCCTACCCCATCCCTGTCAACACCAAGTATCTGTGTTCTTAAGCCCTGAGATTCTGAAGTGATGGAGGAGACAGGAGCCATTTAAGGACAAAGGACAAGAGATGCTTTTTCCTTCTGGGGATAAATCTAAGTCGCGTTATAAAACATTATTTCTCTGTCTGAGAAAATGAAGTAGGGGACCTATAAACAGTTGCCCTAGTACTGAGTACCTCCTATGCAAGGACACTGTTTAGACACTTTGCACTTTATCTCATTTACCCTGTAAAGGGAGGCCCTATTATCTTCACAATACAAATGAGTCTACACGAGTTTAGAAGGGAGGGTGGTGCCTGGGTTGCTCGGTCGATTAAATACCCAGCTCTTAGTTTCGGCTCAGGTCACGACCTCATGGTTCAAGGGGTTCGAGCCCCATGTCGGGCTCCGTGCTGATAGTGCAAAGCCTAATTGGGATTCCCTCTCTCCCCCTCCCTGCCGCTCCCCTGCTCACTCTCTCTCAAAACAAACTTCAAAAAAACGTTTTTTTAAAGAAGAGAGAGGGCTGCTATTTAGCTAATTTTTTCATGTTTATTTACTCTGTCTCTCACATCCCTAAAACGAAAATGAACCTAAGTGTCACGGGAAAGGTTGGAGCAGTGTCATCCGAGAAAGCGAAGAACAAGTAGAGGGGACCGGTAGTCCCGGAAGGTCAGCCTTCTGCAGTTGCCAGGCAACAAAGGTAAACAGCGAAAAGTGGCAGGATCATGGCCACCAACTACAGTGCAAACCAGGTAAGCTCTTTCCTCATCTCTAACATTTCATCTTGCCTTCCAGACTCCAAGTTTGGACTGACCCTCCCATGGGATTCTGATTACTGAATGGACAACTGAAAGTGGGGTGAGACTATTTTTCACCTCCTTAGCTCCTCAGGGTAGAGGGCCCAATGACGAGCAAAAGGTATTTCAGGGTTAAGTTTGTAGGATCTAAACAAGAGGTCAGCAAGTCTTTTTTTCTGTAAAGGGCAAAGGGATAAATATTTTATTTTTAGGGCCAAGAGACACAATCAGAGATATTATGTGGGTACTTACATCAGCAAAATATTTTTCCATAAAATTTTGACAAGATTGAAAATATAGTAACTGCCATTTTTTTGGTAATACTAATGAAAAAAATGATTTTTTTTATAGATCGTGTTTATTTTTTTTAAGTTCGAGAGAGACTGAGGCAGCACCAGCAGGGTGGGGGAGGGAGAGAGGGAGAGAGGGAGAGAGGGAGGGAAGGAGGAAGGGAGGGAGAGAGAGGGAGAGAGAGAAAATCCCAAGCAGGCTCCGCACTGTCAGCACAGAGCCCAATATGGGGCTGGAACTCATGAACTTGCAAGATCATGATCTGAGCCGAAACCAAGAGTCGGGTGCTTAACTGATGGAGCCATCCAGGAGCCCCGAAAAAAATGGAATTCTTATGGGATGAGAAAACATTTTAGTTAATTGGGATACAAAGCTAGTGTTACCTTTTATCATATCAATCGCAAATATTCATCTATAAAAACCATTCTTAGCTTTCTCAGGTCATCCCAAGACAGACTGGAGGATGGGTTTGGCCCACGGGCCAGTTTGCTGACCCCTGTTCTAGACCAAGGGTCCCCAGTAAAAAGATAATGCGAGTCGCAATGTAATTGAAAACTTTCTAGTAGCTACATGAAAAAAATTTAAAAAATCAAATTAAGTTTATTTTGAGAGAGTGTGTTTGTGTGTGTGTGTGTGTGTGTGTGTGTGTGTGT